GATCAAATGATTTTAACATTAGATGAAAAAAAGGTTAAAAGATTGTATACTTTTCTTTTGGACATGAAAATGGAAGATGAACAAGTTAAGGAAATTATGTTAACATGGGCACAACATTTTGGATATAATATTGAGTTACAGAAATGACAAATGCTGTGGGAAAGAAATATTAAGATGACCTTAGCAACTTCTTATAAAGAAAACCTTTATAAAATGTTTTATACATGGTATTTATCACCAAATAGATTAGCATAAATGTTCCCAAATATGTCAAGTAGATGTTGGAAATGTAAACACAAACCTGGTACTTTTTATCATATGTGGTGGACTTGTGTTAAGGAAAAAAATATTGGGTTAAAATACATAAATGGCTTGAAGAAATGCTACAAAAAACTTTAACATTTAAACCTGAAGTTTTTCTTTTAGGCTTTATCCCTGATGACTTTGATGAACAATGCATATATCTGATCTTACATGTAATTACCGTGCATTTGCCCAACACTGGAGGAATGAAGAGCCACCTACTGAAGAGCTGATTTTTAAAAAGATTTTGGATTGCGCATAAATGTAAAGATTGTCTTTGAAGGAGAAGGATATTGGTTAGAGAAATGGGACTATATCTAGAATTGAATATGGTTATTGATTGTAAAAAAGAGTAAGATGTCAACCCAATGTCTTGGGAATAATTGTTGTTTTGGATTTGTAGAGAAAATAATAAAATTTGAAAAAAACAACTGAGGCCTTTGAATTGTGGTGTTGGAGAAGACTTCGGCAAGTCCCTTGGACTGCAGAGAGATCAAACCAGTCAGAGGAGATCAACCCTGAGTGCTCTTTAGTAGGTGAGATACTGAAGATGAAACTCTAGTACATTGGCCACCTATTGAAAAGGAAGGACTCACTGGAGAAGAGCCTAATGCTGGGAAAAATAGATGACAAAAGAAGAAGGGGATGGCAGAGGATGAGGTGGCTAGATGGAGTCACTGAAACAGTCAGTGTGAGCTTAAGTGGCCTCCAGGGAATGGTGTTGTCCATGTGGTCATGATGGATTGGATGTGACTTCGCAATTAACAACAACAAGAAGGGCTTCCTGTCTCATGAGCCCTTTGTTCCACATCCTGCACTCTGGAAAGATCAAGCAGAGATTGCTATCATAGCTCCCCTCAGTCTTTTCATCTCCAGGCTAAACATGTCCAGTTCATTCAATTTCTCCTCATATGGCTCTGCTTCCAGTCCACACATCCCCCTTGCTCTCCTCCTTATGGATGCTTTCCTCTTTCTCCTACCGACATCCTGTGAAATTTCTTTGTGACTTCCAAGGTATCAGCTAGCCTATCTTTCTGTCGTGAGATCTCCATATTTAATCAGCAATTTCTGCACTTCCTCATTGAAACCATCAATACAAAGGTGGAAGAGAACAGAGCCACAGACCAAACTCTGCAGTACCACGTTTGTTACCTTTCTTGTCTGAGAATGGGCCATTGATGAACACACTTGAGTCCGATTCTGTAGCCAACTGTGCATGCAGTTGAGAGTTGTTCTACCTACACTGCTTGGAGATGCTTGAGTAAGCATGATCTCATGGGGCACTTTGTCCAAAGCTTTGTGGAAGTCTGTATAGATGAAATCCACACAATTTCCTCAGTCCACCAGGGAGGTCACGCAATCAAAAACTGAAATGTGATTAGATGTCAGGCTATCTTCCTGACAAATCCAGACTGGTTTCTTGGCAACATGGGATTATTTGCAGAGTGTCTGAAAATTGCTATCTTCATCAGTGGACTCTTTTGGGACAGGACAGTCAAGGAAGCAACTCAGAATTTTGGGCTTCCCTTGTCCTCTGTCAGAATGTGGTCACCTGCAGGGACTACCTGAACCACAACATCTTTCCTCTGGCTTTTCCTCTGGATGTATCTGGAGAAGCCTTTTGGTTGCTTTTAGCATCCCTCACGGACCTCCACTCCACTTTTCATGGTCCTGAAGTTGGTTGCATGACTCCACGGGTTCTAGTCATGCAGGGCATCTTCTAGATCCTTTGCTCCAGACTGACCCACTCTTCTGGGGACTTTCCTCCTCATTTTTGTTTCCCTCAGGATTCCGTTCCTCAGCCTCAACACTCTTTCACTCCTCTGTCCTCCGCACTAGACTTAGTGTCCCAGCTGCACTCCTCGACCTGAAAACTTGTAATTTTCTCATTCCCTTGAAGTTGCCCACTCGCTGCTCCAAAGCTCTCATGTTTTGTTCCAAGATGGCTGCTGGATTGCACTTGTTGCACCTGCCTGCCATTCTGGCCTAAGGCAGAAAACCAGGCATGGCATGGAGGTTGCAGGCCACTAAACCTGGGGAGTTTTCTCGGTCCATACTCTTTAATTTGGATTCTACCTTTCTCTCCATGTTGCATCCTTCTGTGCTTTCTTCTCATTTCCCTGAAAGTGGCCAGCAGAGTCCCCTTTCCTCTGCCTTCCTCTCCTCTTCCACTAAAACTCCACTTCCAAACTCTGGCTAGCTCTACAAGTTGGCTCAATTGCTGGAAGCTTGCTTGCTTGTCTAGAAAATCCCAGACCAGCTGAGGCACCATTCCCTGTTCTTCTCAGCTAGGGACCAGATGAATGCTGGGATCTGGAATACAGACACATCTAAGTGTAGATTGTGTTCAGCTGGGCATAGCAGGTCCAACATGGATTGCCTTGTTTTCTGACCCCTGGCAAGGCAGAAAGTGAACTTATTAGTAGGACAAGGAGTTTGAACAAGGACCTACATAGTCCTCATGCTGATTCTTTGTTCTGCTTCAGAATGACTCAGAGAAACTCCACAGGTGGACACAGGTGGACCAGATGGACTCAGTCGTGGGATGCCAGTAGAGGAGACCAAAACAGGGATCAGAACAGAAAGCGTTCCAGCTGCCCCTTTATTTGTTAAACATCTCATGTTGTAAGTTTAATAGCTAAGGAAGCGGTGGTTTGGGGAAATACCTGCCATGGATGAAGGTCATGCACACCTTGCCTGCCTCCATGTTCCATGTCCTTCCACCTGTATCTGGAAGAAACAGCCACATCCATGGCACGAGCCAGAGCCTGGACTGTGCTGTAACAGAAGAAGCTGTCCAGAGAAAGTATTTGCTCCTTGTCCACTTTGGGCAGGCCTTCTGGTTCCTCCTTCTCGCTGCATCTTGTCCATGCTTTCACTGACAGCACATGCTTGGAATATGAACACTTGAATGCTCTCTCCACAAATGCATGCATGGTTTTATACAAATATGTAACACCATCATAGTTCGTCCTTTTCCTTTTTTGGGGAAGGAAGGAAAAATATGCATACACGTGCTGGAATGTACTCATACTATTTCGATAAGCTAAATCCAAGGTAAAGTCAGCCAAGGTTGTGGTGATCCAGACTTTTCCATTAACAGGTTTCATAACCATTTTAATAACTCTTTCGACAATTTCTATTCCATAGAAGTAGAAAAGGAGCTCTTCAAAATAAATGAAGACATTGATTTCTATTAACTGCTTCAGTGACTGGAATTTGAGTTTTACATTGCCTGATTTTAGCTGTGAGAAGCTGTGTGAAAAAATCACACAAATTCCATTCCTGAGGAGCTCTAGTTTCAAGGTTCTCATGAACTTGTCTCCATTCTCAGTGTCCAGTGAAAAGAGACCAACCATTTTCCACCTGAAGTGGAGCAACAGCCTGACAATCCCTGGGTACTGGATGCCTTCTTCAGGGACCATCCTGTAGAAGGAAGGGGACTGACCCTTTTCTTTCTGGACCTGAGAAGTGAAAGCGTAAGTGACCTGGGAAAGAGAGGCAGAGACTGATGGACTACTTAATTTCAATACCAAATCATAGTTCCTCATTTCATTCAAATAAAGCTTTAATTATCTGCATGAAATATGATTTGAAAGAAAGCAATGTTTATAGTTTTCTGAAAAATGCAATTTGTTTTGAAAAATTTCTGAAAAAGAAATTGAAAACATAGAAAAGGAGGCTGGGTGTAACCTGAATCCTTGAGTATCTCTAGATGTTCCATCCTGTTTTAAATTTCCCAAGACTTCATCCCATAAATGGGAGAAGAAATGGTTTGTAGGGTGGGTCAAACACAGATGCCGTGGACACCTTCCTGGGGTCTCAGAGTCTCCCCTGCCCTTCTGCATGCTATGATGGGAAATAAAAGGAAACTATCTTTGCCGCCCATGACATCCTTGACCCTGAAGTGTAGAATTATTTGCTCTACATCTGGTCCCATGAAGAATGCAAATTTTACTGATGACTGCACATCAAGCGTCAGTTCTTTATGGTTCTATCAGAGAGACATAAGACAGTGGAAGATAAAAGACGCTACACTAGAACTTCTCTAAAAGAATTTCAGAATATGTAAAGGATCAGCCTGGAGCCTGTTGTTTGGATTCGAGAAGTGAAGCTTAAGATAACCATGTGCAATTGTTATTTCCTTGAAGTTCTCTCTGCATGTAATCATTGCAAGAAACTGAACATATGGAATCCCAGGATATGGTGGCTGTATCAGCTAGTCTAGAGATGGGCTGACTCTCAATTACAAACTGAGAAACATGGAAGCAAAGCAAATCAGAAAGTCCCTGGTTCCAGCTTACTCTGCTATAGTAATATTCAGCATGTGGTTATTGGTCGTGTACCTACAATAGGGGGGTCTTTTTCATACAGTTCCTTACTCGAGCTGCCATCTCTCTCACGGTCAGACAAGGAGCATGAGGGATTTTTCCGTTAATCCTTACCACTAACAGTACCAGATGGGTGCCTGGTGTGGGGCTTAGGTGGCTTGAGCTCTTTTCACCTTGGGACTGAGTAGGATTGTCTGTTGTCCTGGGAGGGATATCATGCTTGCTAATTACTGGCAGAATCTTTTGCCTTCTCTGGATTCCATCTCATACTGTTTCTCCCAAGTCTCTCACCTGTGGGATTTTGAAGATGCCCAGCATGTTGGAAACCTGCATGGAGTTGTCAGAGTCAGATTCTTCAAGGACAACCAGCAGATGATTTTTCTTGCCACACTTGTAATTGGGAACATGGGCCTGGGTGGTTGAGAGAAGGTCTATGGTGGCATCTGAAGTCAGTCTGGCATCATGAAGGCTGTCATAGAAGTTGTAGCCCAGGGTGATATTGGGCAAGAGGTTGGGATTCTGGTTGATCTCCTGGATGGCAAACAAGAAGGAGAGGATCTTCCAGTAATATGTTGAGTCCAACCTGAAAAAATAAATCAAGCGGGTCACTCTGCCCAGGAATCCTTTCACTGCCCTTTCAGGCTACAACTTGCTTCTTAGGCTTCCACCTGCTCAGTCTGGTCCCAGCTGAAAGCAAGAGCTCAACAGCTGATTCCTGCAGAATTTCTGCTGGGATTCCAGTGGTTCAGCACACCTGTTTCCCATCCAAGTCTAGGTCTATTCCTTATGCCAAGACACCTGCAGCAAAGGGGCCCATCCCAGGCAGGAGCCCAGCAAGGTCAGCCATTCACACTGAAGGAGAATGGAACTCAAAGGAGTGCAGAAGCAAGAAATGTGGAAGTTGTTCTGGGGCCTGAGGCCTCCCATTGCCCTGGACTACCCCCTGGACTTTGCTGCCTCTAAGTTCACTGGCTGGGTATCATGATAGAGAGGCCAGCTGGAAGAAGATGCTCTGGCTTTGCATGCCACTGCAGACTGCAATGCCTGGCTGCCTGTGGTGCTTTGTGCTATCATGTCAAGCTGGCCAATAACTTACGCAATCTTTTCATTAGAGGCAGGTTTCTTGAAGCTGTGTGCTCTAAATCGGCCTTGTGCTCCAGAGATGCTGGCACTGAAGACGTAGTCTCCTGGTCGAAAATAATTCTGTGGCTGCACCTCAGTCTTGTGCCAGCTCCAGGGGCATTTGACCTTCAGTCCCTCACAGCAGGTCTCTGGGAGGAGCAGCAGCAGCAAGATGAACTTTGCCATTCTGCCGGTACTTGACACAGCCTCCATCCTGCCCCGTTCAACCTAATAGAGGAACAATGAGAAGAATAACTTCCTTCCAAAATGGAAATGGTGCCCAGCAAGTCAAGGCTTCAGCAGGAGGGAAGGAGAAGATGTGCCTTCAAGGAGGCCTCTTCACTTGCGCTTAACCCCAGCTGAGCTCTGAGAAAGAAAAGCAAGAATGATGTGCCTTCCCTTTTGTGCCTGGATCCCGGACACAACCCTGTGATCTCATGTTTGCATCAGGGGGCTCTGGATGCTCCTGGGGTAGGGGACCCCATGAGATTTTTCAAGATGACCAGTAATGCAGTATCATTTTTCTAAATTTGCGGCCCCATGGCAGGAGCACCTCTCTGGCTTCCTGAACAATTTCCTCACTCCTGTGTGCAAGTACACAGCTGGGGACAACACACTTCTGGGAACTCTCCCATGTGGCCCCTTTGAGGCAAGTAGGATCAAGGGACTCCTTCTGCCGTGTGCACTGACATGGGCTTCCAATGGTTGATCGGCTGCATCACACACTTTCCCCCCCCCCCCCCCCGCCCTGCCCTCCAATTCTCTTGCATCAATTCTTCAAGTTTTCACAGCCCAGACTTCACTCAGCCTTCTGCTTTGGAGGTGAGGTTTTAGAGTGCCCTCATTTCTCACAGTTTGCCTGGTTGTTTGAGTCTTTCATTTCTTGTGGTTCAAGCAAGGATTCAAGCAGGATGCAGAAATGGATTCCAGTGGCCTCCATCACCGTCACTGCACTTTCTGGAACTGAGAGTAACATGGGGACATTGTGTGGACCTTTCCCTGAGGGGTGAAGGGCAGATTCTTTCCTCCGAGGTGTCTGTGCACCTGCTTAGTCTCTCAGTTACAACGGATGGCACAATTCATCTGGGTTCTGGACGAGTACAGCCCGGAACTGGTGAATGAAAAAAGCCTTTACACCTTTCACAGAAGCTTGCCGTAGGCACGAGATGGCTTTGCCTGCTCTCAGGATGTTTTGAAGACTCACATTAGTTGGGGAAGAAACTGTGGAGATTTGGGAAAGAGGATGGAAAATCTCTGGCCTTTATATCTCTGTCCCAGCACAAATCTCCTGAGCATGGTCTCACAAGTTCTGGGTTGCTGTATCAGTCTACCCAACACAAAGTGCACAAACATGACAAAGAAAATCTGCTGCTTTCCCTGCCTAAAGGAAAAGGTGCTCTCTGATGGAGTTTACAGACAATGAGAATCAAGTTTCCCACAATTTTTTTATCGACATTGATGGTATTGGCCTTTATACACTGGTTCAAAATGCCCCAACTCGTTGTGAATACAAGAAAAGCTGAACTAGCACACACTTCAACCAAACCACTGAGACTTGGGCATTTGGATGAAATGAATGCTGATGCTCATGGAAAAGTTCTAGCAGGAGGTGAATTGCTCCTTCGCCCTTCGAGCCGCCCACATCCTTGGGCTGACAAAGGGGCCCACCCTTCTGCAAACATTAGCCTACTACAAGGCATTGTGTTTGGCCCCATCCATCAATTTTCTGCCTGCCATATCCTATCCTGTGGTATTAATAGGCTGGCTATGAAAAGAGAGCCCAGAAAAATTTTGCCATTTTTTAAATTTTGGTGTAAAACATATACTTAAAACAGGGTAGTATTATGGACTATATTGGGAATGCATGATATTCCTAAGAAATATGTGTGATCACTGCCTCCTTTAAAGGGGTTCTCTCAGTGAGGCGTTGATGACCCATTGGACCCAGGTACCAATTCTGTGTCTGGCTCTAGGAAGCAGCCATGAAGGGCAAGGGTCAAGTAAACCGGTGGTAGGGAGTACCAGCCCAAGCACCTTGTCCACATCCTCAGGCCGCAACAAGTGGAACTCATCCAACAATGGTGGGGCTCTGGATGCCTCCTGTTCTGGAATCCTACCAACGGTGCAGTCCAGCTCGTGCCAGATGTGAGCGATTTTCTCCTTGAAGTGCTGGGCAAAGTTGTCACAGTGCACTACAAATGGTGTCACCAGATCTTTGCCTTTTCCCTTTCTGGGAGTCCCTTGGGTGCCCACATGGGAATTCTCAGCCCCTTGTGGGTTCTTCCAGCAAATGCAAACCAGCCACCAGCCACCTCCCCTTTTGCCTCTTTTCAGCAACTGCAAGCCTTTATCCCAGTCAAAGGAAAAGCTGCTTGTCTAGGGGAGCCACAATTAGGAAGGTTACATGGCGGCTTAAACACTTGCGCAGTTTTGGACAGATGCCAATAATGTATCAGACACCAGTGTTGCCATTTCTAGCAAGGAAAAGACCTGCTCCAAGCTTTTCCCTATATACTACTTGTTCACCATTTTGACAGGACTGACAGCTCAGACTCTGAGAATGACCTGCATGGAGGGGATTGGTTGATCCCGGGAAGACCAACAGCTCGGGCTCTGATAGCAAGATGGTTCTCAAAACAAACATTGCTCCAGCTGCAGTCATGCCTTTGTGTACCTGGCTGTGCTTGTGAGGGAAGAGCTTAGTTCAAGGGCAGCCGGGGGACTGGTCAGCCCACCCGTGGGGAGCAAGAAGAGCCACAACAGCCTTGAGGGGGGTGATTAAAGATGAGGAGACCATTGGATGGAGAACTCCAGCCTCCTGTGGAAGGGGACCCAATAGCCCAGCATCACAGGAACAGGGTAGCACAATTGGGACCTCAGAGAGGAGAACACAAGCATGCCCGGGTCCACAGTGCTTCTTCCTCCCAAAACAGGCACAGAAGGATTCATCAGCAGAGTTTTGGGAAAGGGAGAAGAGAGGATTCAACTTTTCACTTTGTGTATGGTCAGGGATTTAGATGTTAAATAATGACATTTGGCAAGAAGCACTGGTGTCTGTAACTGCAGGGAGGGGATACTCAGCTCCCAACAAGAGACCTGGTTTGCCAGTTTGCCTTAATTCTTTTAATTTATCTGCCATGACCAATGCCGGGATCAGGCCAACACCATTTTCCAGATGCAGTCTCCAGCTGGCCCAACTGGAGGTTACTCCCTGATGTCTGAACTGGAATACTATGGGTCATACATTGGTTAAAACAACCCAGATCTGACCAGCATTAATCTATTTATTTGATTTATAGCCTGCTCTTTTCTTATGTACTCAAATTGGCTTCTGCCATTCTTTTCCTCCTGCTCTCAATCATATGCCCAAAACAACAACCTTGCCAGGTAGGTTGGGCTGTGAGTCTTTGGCTGGCTGACAGTCAGCCAGTACTCTCCATGGCCGAGTGGAGACCCGAGAATCCAGGTGGCCCAAGTCCCCATTCCACACTCATAACCATGACACCACTCTGGCTCTCCCATCGGTAGCCAGGTCAACAGTGGGCCCCAACTAAGGTGCCATGGAGCAACCTCTCATCCAGCCAACTGCAGGTGCAAAAGTATGGCAGCACGAGCCATGGAAAATCATGGATTAATTAACCTGTGGTTTGCTGCTCTTCCATGTGAATGCAGCTGGGATGCGAAGTAGGATATTTCTAGTTAATTTCTTGGTCTGGTCTTATATGTCAGCTACTTTTGTATAGGGGGCATTCTCTCTCTCTCTCTCTTTCAGCAGACATTACTCTGCCAATGCAGTTCACACAATCTGTTCTCTTTCCAGTAATCAGAGCTTCTGATAGTCTTAAGATTTTGGAAGTATCTCCTTCAAAAGGCCACTGGGTCATGTCTTTCCACGTCTTCTTTAATTGGTTAGTCAGGGAGTAAGCTGTCCACCCACCCTGAAATGAGAATGGAACTGTAATAGAGCAACGTAAAGGGAACTCTATTAATTGTCTTCCCATAAAAAAAAAAAAAAAAAAAGAATACAAAGAACAAGACTGGATTATCAATGCTTTATTTCTTTAAGATGGCTATATTTCTTCTCATTGGTACACAATTCATTTTCTCCTATTGTAAATTGTGCATCCAAACATTTCTAAGAAATAATATTTTAACTTCCTCCCTCCCTCCCTCCCTTCCTCCCTCCCTCCCCCCTCCCTTCCTCTTTTGCCTTTTCATTTAGGCAATTTCCCCTTCCACTGACTGCTCTGTGTGAGGTGCAGGATCCCTCCGTCTGTGGGCTGCTCTGCTGGGGATGAGGTGCTCACTCTGCAGGAAGGAGCAAGGAGGAAGGCAGGTGAGCTGGAGGCAGCTGGGACAGGAGGCCAGAGAGCCTGTGTGGACCATTCGCTGGGCATTGGGAGAGGGTGTCTTTCTTTTTGCTCAACTGAAAAAGTCTTCTGAAGGTGTCTGATTCCATGCAAATAAGGAACTGAAGCAGAGGAATCTCCAAATCTCCTCCACTGACATCTGGTTGCAATATTTCCAGAGTGCAGATGAGGATCCTGATACACTTCTGATGGTGAGTGGAAGAACGATTTCTTAATTTCAGTTCCGACAACAAAATAGTGTTGTGGATGCTCTTTGTGCCTGTTCTACATCACAAGAAAATTCTAAAGTTAAGCAGCTTCGATTGGACACTTTGTGGGCCCTGAATTTAGAGTAGGTTTGTGGGCCCTGAATTTAGGTGCAAGAAGATTTGGGAAGGGAGATGTACAGTCCTCACATTACATTCATGATAAAAATATATCTCCCATTGTAGGAAGATAAAGTTTTTAAAAAACTGAGAAGCTGCATTCTTGTTTTCCTGCAAAGTTCTTGTAAACAAGGATTTGTATTCTAACACTTCAAAACGTAGTAATGAAGATGCCAAACACTGAAAACAGAAACTATTTCTAAAAAAGAAAAAGAAAACACAAAGCTTAGCTAATGAGATAAAAATGGGAACATTTCTTGCATGCTTCTTCGCAAGGCATAAAATGGAGCCTTCCCCTTTCAAAGTGCAAAAGAATTCTATTCCATTTTTTTCATTTCTATCCTGCTCATATACCAAAAATGGATCTCTCAGCAGATTCTCATTCACATTCTTATGCTGTTGATGAATAATACAAATGCACTTTATCCTTTACTTTTCATCATGAGATGCT